TGGCCCTGGTCCAATCTGCTCATCGCTGCACTTTCATCTCCGTCTCTGTATCACTTTCTTTTATTGGATTTCATCCCCACCAGCGTCTTCCAACTTCCTCCAGCAGTTTCAATCATGTCTGTGAGGGGGGGTCGAGGGGTCTAAATACACAGATCAATAGGCCATCAAACAGTTCTTAAGTGTTACACACACACACACACACACACACACACACACACACACACTGAGGGAGACTCGGGTTTCTAACCGGCGTGTTTTTGCTGCATCGTTTTGGTCTCTGACCTCATCAGGACACCTGAGGTGACGACAAGACGACGGAATTTACTCATAATCAGGAAGTGGTGGAAGAAGTACTTCTTGTTTTACTCACGTTAAAGTACAGATAAAGTGGTAAAAGTTGTCGAATTAAAATTATCCAAGAATTTTTTGACTTAAGTAAAAATAATAAAGTACGCTTTTTTAGTGCGTGTAACAGTGAAAAGTAAAAGTATTCATGCAACATTTAAATGTGTGTTTTTGGTGCTGAAGTGTTCTGGATCGGGGGGAGGGAACAAAACACACCTCATCGGACCAGGTGTGTGTGTGTGTGTGTGTGTGTGTGTGTGTGTGTGTGTGTGTGTGTGTGTTGGACAGAGGTGGAATGTAACGAATTAAATTTACTCACGTTACTGTAATTGAGTAGCTTTTTTGTATATTTATACTTTTTAAGTCATTTTTAAAATTTGTACTTTTACTTTTACTTGAGTAAGTTTTTAAAAAACAATTGTAATTCGCTACATTTTAAATCATATCCGTTACTGAGTAAAAATAAATTGTAGGCTTAATAAATTAAAAATATTACGTGTAGCCGCATCGGAACAGAAAGGGACACCTGCATGAGCGCCACATCTAAACGGGGGGGGGGGGGGGGGGGGGGGGGGGGTACATTTTAGATCATGAGGACAAACAGCCATTTTTACCGCAGTTTTGCTCAAAAACATCAGTTAAGTCCCTGTGATCCACTCGCTGTTTACCTCCTCTCCTGTGGGTTGAAACCTGCACCTTCGCGCACCGGTGTGACGTCATCAGTATTCTGCTCGGTTCGGTAACCAGACTCGGTTCCGTGTTTGAGATGTGTTGCCTACCGCTCCACACGGAAGCAGCAAAATAACGTTTAGCGCTCATAGCAAGCGGATTCTCAGCGCTTTGCTCATAAAAGAGAAGACCTGCAGGCCTCTGTGAGTTAAACATCCTGATACTGTTCAGGTGTGAACATTGTGCTCCATCCCTGTGTTTGAACTCAGAAGATGCTTCTTGATGCCACAGATATGTGATGATTTAGCTTGTTTCTTTATTTTACTCCAGAATAAGAGATTAAATTATTACAAAAGCAGTTCAGTGTAGTTAAATTAGTCATTCAAATGATTCTAACATGCTGCAGTGTGTGTGTGTGTGTGTGTGTGTGTGTGTGTGTGTGTGTGTGTGTGTGTGTGTGTGTGTGTGTGTGTGTGTGTGTGTTGTGATTTAGCACTTCTTAGATGTAGCCATCCTTACGCTGACAAAAATGTAACAAACTTTTACTTTGAGTACATTTTATTTATGATACTTTTTACTTTTACTTGAGTAACATTTCAGACAAGTACTTTTCCTTGTACTTGAGTAAAAAATTATGAACGTATTGGTACTCATACTTAAGTAGGAAATTTTAGTACTCTTTCCACCTCTGGTGTTGGACAAAAGTACTTTTACTTCTGAAACTTTTTAGAAAATGTAGAGTAGAAATGAAAAAGTAGGTGTCTTGTTGGGTACCAGGTGTTTGACCCACGGCATACAGAATCACCAAAGGCAACTGAAGGTAAGATAAATAAGATTTATTAAAATAAAGGGGAGAATAAACATGAACTCGGGGCGCTGCAAAGAAGCAGGAGTAATGGCTGATTTGGAGGACGGGTGCCCGGCGGGACGAGAGCTAGAGAGGAGAACAGAGCGAGTTTGCTGAGAAGTTTGAGTGAGAGGGCAGATGGCAGGAGGATATGAACAGTCGCTGAGGCTTACGTTCGTCAGGATGAAGGAAAGCGGGTGGGAGTCAGGTCTGGGCGAGTGGAAGATCCTGGAGGTAGCGGCAGGTGGAGGACTGAGGGCGGGCGACCAGAGGAGGGCAGCGGGACGTGGTGTGAAGATCTGGAGTTATTGTCCCAGTAGATGAAGCAGACAGGTTAGCACACAAACAGGCAGATCGCTGACAGAAGTGCAGGACTGGTGATCAGATCCACCCAAACTGAGTAATCAACCAGCGTGGAGAAGAGTCTGGTGCTGTGATGATGATGATGCCAGACAGCTGGGGAGTCTCAGCCACGCCCACCTGCAGGGAAGAAACTCAGGAACAAGCAAACAGAGCAGTACCCAGACTGTGACAGCAGGCCTCTAGAAGACGACTCAAGTACAGTAACAAAGCACTTGTACTTCATTCCATTCCATCACTGTAAGATTGTGTTAATCAGATTTACAGATTAAAGGTGCAACCTGTGACCGAGTAAAGTGATGACTGATGCTAATAAAGACCTCCAGAATGCTGCTGGTTTTCTTGTTTTTCTAACATTTCGGGTTTTATTAAACACAACACTGATAAAATAAACATGTTCATGTGTTGTCCCTTATTTGACCTCAAATCATTTGATTCGACATAAATGTCTGTTTACAGAAACGTTTAGGTCCTAAAATGTTCTTTGGGTATTTTTAATAAAAGGAAACGTCTAAATAGGGAATTCCACGTGAAAACCTTTGTTCGCTCCTGCAGAAATGGTCACAGACGATCTCCTCCATCATCTTGGGCGGTGACCTTTGTCAGATGACGGGCAGAGGTCAAGAGAGGTTAAAGAAATGGGGCCATCTACTAGTCATGCAGAAAGGGGGCTGCCGTTGAGTTTTGGGCACCTTTAGCTCCTCTACGGGCCGCAGGGGCTGCAGCTCGTCACTCCCGGGCAGCCAGGCCGTGTGCAGACCAACGCAGAAACATAAACTGGAGCGTGGGTTTTCCAACACAAACAACTCGCTCTCCCAGTCACGCTCTCGTCCTCGGCCCTTTTCATTCAGTCATGATCAAGACAGTCGAGCTCCAGTGCACGTGTTACCGTAATGAGCTCCGACAAGGCAGGAGGCGAGAGAGGAGCAGTGAGAAAGGAGGCTAAATGAAAAGAGCGGAGTGGTGGGAGCAATTAGCGCTCCTTACAAGAAGCCGCGTCGTGAATCTGAGCTTCTCTGTGTGGAGTTAAATAAATCAGGCCGGCCTCCGTTTCTCCAGCCTGAGTGCTTCTGAGGCAGTGTGAGCTGCTCCATCATCTGCAAGATAAATGTTGATATTACAGCCTTTTGCACACCACCTTCAATCTTGACAGTCTGCCGTCGTGTCTGAGTAGTTAGCTGCTGGGGATTGTGGGTAATGAGCGGTGGTGGGACTTCTCCTGCAGCTCTGCAACACGAGACGGCCTGCAGGACGTAACGGGCCTCTCCGCTTCAGCGAGTCTTTACATCACACCCCGCGATGCACCGCAACCGACTAAGTTAGGAAAATAAATGCGTTTATGTTTCCTGTTTGATCTTGTTTTTGTTTCCTGTTTGTGGTTTTTAGATGAATATGTTAGTCTTTTACCATCAAATTACACGAAAACATTTACAATTTCACATTTGTGCTGAAGTATTTTCCTTTTCCCTTTCAATAATTTAACGTAAATGCATAAATTACTCCATTATTATTTGTGTAAAATGTATTACTTGTTTATTAATTAGTGTTTATTAACTGGCCCTGTTTGACAGCCTAAATGATGTTTTTTTTTACTAAATAATAGAAGTTGCGGACACTTCAGCGCTCAGTATTAATGACTGCTTTAGTAACTGAGTCATCAAGAGCCCCGGTTCAAGTTTTTACGTTTAGAAAACAAGACAAAAGTAAAATTTACTATTAATCTATTGAATCGTTTAAAGTTTACATTGAATTTAACATTCCTGAATTTCTAATAATTACGTTTCAACTGTCTCTTTCACTTTTCTGAGAGAGTTTTATTAAAAAAGCGGCCTGGCGCTGAGCACACGGAGCAAACTTTAACTCATTAGAACCCACATTTTTATCAGAGAAGAAGAAAATCTGTCAGATGGCTCCGTTTTTTTTTTTTGAAGATGAGTTTGGTGTTGTGTGTGTGTGTGTGTGTGTGTGTGTGTGTGTGTGTGTGTGTGTGTGTGTGTGTGTGTGTGTGTGTGTGTGACAGACTGATCCCAGATCAGGTGAAGTGATTGAGATTTACTTCCTCCCAACACGACGGGCTCCTGTCTGCAGCCGCCAGCCACTCCCTGCAGTTTCCCATCATACTTAGCTCCTAAGCAAGGTAAATAATTAGCCTCCCGGTGCTCGCCGGCGCAGCCGTGTTGCATAATTCATATGAGTTCAGATGCATTCACGAAGAAATGTACAAGATGAGTTTGAATTTGTCTTGATGTGGAAATGACATCATCATTAAGGGACATAAAAACACTTTTAGTTTATTCTTACAGCCATGGAGCAAAAAAATCAGTTTTTATGTTTAACTTTTTCATGTTTTTAGCAGGAAAACTGTTTTATAATGAATTTAAATTATTTAAAAATCTGCTACGTGAATTGTTGCAGACTTCCTTTTATTGAACCCAAACTTGATTTGTTTTATTTAGAGTCTAATTATTGAGTATCAGCTGTTTGAGGCGTGTGATTTAGCAGAAAATGTGTCAAGATGGACCAAAAGCTCTAAAATGCCCATTTTACTCATTTTTTTTATTTTTGGTATTTTTTTCTATTTCCAGACTTTTGCTGGCTAATTTCAACAATTTGTTAATACATATTTTAATATGCAAAACATTAAAAACAGTATTAATATTGCTGTGATGTGTAAAATAATATAAAAACATAAGTAGATTTCATTATTAGTTAATAAATCACTTTTGGGACAAAATGTATTTATTTTCTCCTCAAAAATACTGAATGAGTTCGTTAGGAGCTTTCTTGAACGCTGTTTTAATTACATCCGCAGTAATGAGCCTCGTGACAAAGTGGAATAAAGTAAGAGGAGTAAAATATTCATCAACTAAATAAACATGCGTGGAACTTAAAAAAATAAATGTTAATTACATTCATTTAAATACATAATCTGAATATTAAAAGTTCTTGTTACAGAAAAAAGCATGCAGATAGGCTATGGTAATTTCTTTGGTGGCTTAAGCTGCTGTTGATAATAAAATAATTATAATAATAATAATAATAAGAAGAAGAAAGAATAACGTAAACAATTAGATGTTTAGGCCTCCCAGCCGGAAACTTCCCACATCAGGCCCCAGACTTTCAAAATAAATAATACTGGATATCCATAAGTGATGAGAAACTGTTTCTCCGCCATGTTTGCAGTCTTTAGGAAAGCCTTCCAGGCCGCACCACTAAGACCTTAAATGCTCCGAACTTGGCAACAAATCACCCAAAGTGTCTGGTTCCGGGCTCTGGTGGCGTCATCCGTCGCCGTCGTACAGGCTGAAGTACTTGCTGGCGTTGGAGAAGCAGAGGTAAGGCGTGCTGCTGCCCGGGTACACCACCGGCAGAGGCACCGGCAGCAGGCACCGACCCAGCAGGCTGCTCTCCTTGTACAAGGCCGGGAGCTGCCCCACCGCCACCGGCTTCCCAGGCTCGGAGAAGTCACTAACCGGTCCGTCCATGTCGGTGGAGATCTGTCGTTTCAACTTATTCCGCCGGTTCTGGAACCAGATTTTGACCTGGGTCTCTGTCAGCTGCAGGGAGCTGGCCAGGCACGCGCGCTCCGCGCTGCTCAGGTAGCGCTTCATGTCGAAGGTAGACTCCAACTGGAAAATCTGTCTCTTGGAGAAAATCGTGCGCGTCTTCTTCTTCGTGACTATTTTGTTCTTTTTGGAGCCGCTGTCCTCCTTAAGGGGGTCCGGCGCCGCGCTGGAGCCGCTGTCGTCGCAGCTGCTGTCCCCGCTCTCCAGGCGCGTCTCGGGCGCGTGCCGCTGCGTCCCGCAGCTGATCAGCACCGGTTCCGCCTTTCCACCGCGACTTGGGACCAGCTCTGAAAACAGAAAGACTCGATTCAGACCGCTAGGAGAGTTCCTGCTGCTGCTGGGGTGCTTTAGTAGACGGCTCTTACCAGCCTGGGTCAGCCTGTCCGGTTCCGGTCTCGGCGGGTGTCTCTGGGACAGCTCATCCTGCTCCCCGGTGGAGGGACAGCTCTCACAGCCGGTCCCGCTTGTCTTCAGGTTCAGAATGTTGTCAATAGTGAATTTGAGAGAGGCTGCGGGACGACATGGTGCGTCTGCTTTGTTCATATTCTCCTGAGCGAGCGGGCTTCCGTTTCCACCTCCGTTCGTTGACCAGGACGGTAATGTCTCCGTTAACGTTCCGATGGTCCTCGCAGCATATCAGCCGCCTCCGAGCTGACTCTGCTGGGCTGGAGAGGCTCTGTCGGTGCACTCACGCCGGACCGAGCGCGTCCTCAAAGCTGATTGGCTGACAGGATGTTCCGGAGCGACCAATGGCAACGCGGGAGGAGAAGGGAGGACAGGAGCGTGTTATTGACCCTCCCATCACCCCCCCCCCCACACACACACACACACACACACACACCAGGTAAATAAAGGCAAAGTTTTGTCATTTTGTTTTATCTTGTTTATTTGAGTCACGTGACGTAAGGAAAGCTTATAGGTGCTTGTGACCCGGAGCTGATTGTCCGAATATCCTCGTTTTATTATGGTTCTTGTTGTCGGAACCAGAATAAAAGCTGCTGTTGGTTCCGTTGGGTCGTAATAAATGGAGTCAAACATCTTGACCAAGGAAATCTGAACTTTTAGCCAAAGTTTGACTGAAATAAACAAAAGAAAAGTGAATTAAAGCACATTTTTGTATAATTTCATTTATTATAACTTTTCAACTCAGTTTCTGATATTTTTACCGCAAAGAGTCACTTTAAACCATTTTGGGGGTTTAAATCCTGACCCAACGGTGTGTGTGTGTGTGTGTGTGTGTGTGTGTGTGTGTGTGTGTGTGTGTGTGTGTGTGTGTGTGTGTGTGTGTGTTTAAATGAGTTTTATACTCTTGATACAAGCCGGTGATGTAAACAAACTTTGACTTTTTGTATTATTAATAAAGTATTTTTACACAAATCCAAAGTAAAACATATTTAAAACGAATCTAAACTTTATTTCGTTTCTTACAGATGGTTTTATGTGTCTGAAACTAATTTAGGATTAACAACTGATGATTCATGATTGAAACATTTAATTGAGTCTGTTTGCTATAAAACCTACAAACCAGTGAAAATTCCACAAATTTTGCGTAATTTTCCTTGTGAGCTTTGCGCTAAAACTCTTATTGGTCAAAAACAAACTCACGTTCAAACAGACGCAGATGCTGCAGAGCATTTTTATTCATTTATAATCATGTGAAAAAAGTGACAAATTAAAAAACAAATTGTGTCTTTAAATATAAAAGTTAGAAAAAATCTGTGTATCAAACGTATACAGTGTATGAACCTCTGCGGCCTCCGTCTGGGCTGATTATGGTTCTGTGATTGTCTCTGCCTCTGGCGGGATTCTCTTTGCAGCATTTTGACGTATTGCACTGAGTCAACTTGAACGTCTTGTTCCGTTTTCACACCAACCCGCTCATCTGTGACCTCAGCAGGCTCATGGAGTGCGCAAACGACGACAGCGGGGAGCTGATGGGTCCGGAGAAGCCCAAGGAGGGTCCGTTCAGGCCCAAGCCCATCGCTGCAGCGGCTGTAGAACCCTCGTGATACAGAATCGGAACCCGGACAACCCGCTGGGTCGAGTTTGGAACCCGCGCGACCTCCAGGTCCGCCGCCAGCTGCCGCTTCCACTTGTTCCTCCGGTTCTGAAACCAGATTTTAACCTGGGTCTCCGTCAGGTGCAGCGACGCAGCCAACCCCGCCCTCTCCGAACTGCTCAGGTACCGTTTCATGTCGAAGGTGGACTCCAGCTGAAACACCTGGCTGCGGCTGAATACCGTCCGTGTCTTTTTCTTTCGCCTGGAGATCTGGTCAGACGCCGCTTCCTGCTCGGATCGTGCGTCAAAGGCGTTTTGTGCGTCCTCGTCTTCGTCAGTGAGGCTTCCTTCGGCCGTTTTCCGGTCGGTTTCGTCGCTGCTTTCGGTGGTCGGCTCAGAAACGGCGGGTGAAGCCCGGTCACAGGCGGATCTGGAGCAGCGGGGATCCTCGGACTTCCGGTGTGTTCCTTCAAATCAGACAAAAGCAGCTTTAGGGGAATTTTCTCACAGTTATAACCAACAACGAGTCCAATTATTCATGGGCGGAAACGTAAGAGATGAAAACGTAAGTTTGACCTGCTCATGTTTATCATGGGTGCGCACAGTGGGTGTTTGGTTCGGGTTCATCCGCGCAGTGATGGATCTGGGAGTCCCGTTTTAGATTCGGTGCTGATGAGACGATTCCACTTTCTAATGAAAGATGGGTGTGAGACGTGTGAGCGGGAGGGTTACGTGTGCGTAAAAGCGTCATTACGACGCGCAGGGCCGCTTGGGTAAATGATGCGTAGTCCACCAACTGTGTTTTTGATTTTACTGTGGAACACACACACACGCGCGCGCGCACACACACGTTATATTTGTTATATTATTTGTTTCTGGAGGCTTTTGGTGCTTTTCACATTTTAGAAAATTGTTTTTAACCGGAAAAAAAAACATTTTTTTAAGTCAAGAGTCAGGCTTCGTGTTGGGTTAAGCACGTCCAACCAGAGTCGTTTAAAACATGTAATGGAGGCTGTTTGTGATGAGTGTGTGATCCAGATAACACACACACACACACACACGCACGCACACACACACTAATTATAAATCATAAATATGAGGATCTTTACTCACTGTTGGGGGTCTCCTCCGGAGCCCCGGGCGGCTCCGTCCTCCTGCGGATCCACCGCGTCTGTGAGTCCCCGCATGAGGACCGGACCCTGGAGCTGGAGCAGCCGGGCTCTGAGGCGATCCTCTCGGTGTGGCATAGCATATAACGCCGTGCTGCTTCGGCATCCGTCTGACCGCTCGCCTCGTGCGCACCCTGCCTCTTTCCCAGCAGATTCACGATGAAAAACGAGGACGCCTTCGATGGAGCGGGAATCTGGTTGTTTGTCGGTTTTCCCTGCATGTTTTCCCGATGGCACGGAGCTGTTACGCAACCGGCTTCTCTGTTGGTCGTGTGGAGAGGCGATAGAAAGTCCTACCGAGCACTCATTTCATGACCGGAGCGGGGATCTCGGTGCCTTGAGGGAAGAGAGAGAGATGTGAAGAGGCGCGTAGCGAGACGGCAACAGCCGCGGGTGCCGAATGAAGCCTTCCAAGGAAGAGAGAATCTCTGTCTCGTGCGTCAGCCGCTGCCGTTGTGCGCGTGTTTGTGTCCACGTGCAGGGCAGGCCCGTCCCCCGAGGCCACGCAGACCGGAGAAACCCTCCGTCCGCGAGGCGCTGCAGCAGTTTTTATTTGGGTCACTTAAAGTGCAGACCAGAATAAACATCAGAGCGACCCGGAGCGGCAGAGGAGTCCGTCACAGAGAAGGTCTGCGCGTTTTTCAGCCGTTAAGCCGAACTTAGCCACCTGGTTTTGGTTTCTCTTGTTTCTAATCAGTTCAGAGATCCATGAAGTTTTAATCCCACACAAAATGTCGTCACTCATATATGTATGTGTGTGTATATATATATATATATATATATATATATATATATATGTGTGTGTGTGTCTACATATATGTATATATACATATATATGTATATATACATATATATATGTATATATACACATATATATATGTATATATACATATATATATGTATATATACATATATATGTATGTATTTCAGTCAATCAATCAAAGCTTTATTTATAAAGCGCCTACCGCAACCCTGTCAGGAAGCCCAAGGTGCTGAACACTGTACAGTACAAAATGTACTATACATATATGTATATATACATATATATGTATATATGTATATATACATATATATATACATATATATGTATATACATAAATGTATATGTATGTATATACATATATATGTACAGTGGGGCAAAAAAGTATTTAGTCAGCCACCGATTGTGCAAGTTCTCCCACTTAAAATGATGACAGAGGTCAGTAATTTACATCATAGGTACACTTCAACTGTGAGAGACAGAATGTGAACAAAAATCCATGAATTCACATGGCAGGATTTTTAAAGAATTTATTTGTAAATCAGGGTGGAAAATAAGTATTTGGTCAATAACAAAAATTCAACTCAATACTTTGTAACATAAACTTTGTTGGCAATAACAGAGGTCAAACTATAGGTCTTTACCAGGTTTGCACTCACAGTAGCTGGTATTTTGGCCCATTCCTCCATGCAGATCTTCTCGAGAGCAGTGATGTTTTGGGGCTGTCGCCGAGCAACATGGACTTTCATCTCCCTCCACAGATTTTCTATGGGGTTGAGGTCTGGAGACTGGCTAGGCCACTCCAGGACTTTCAAATGCTTCTTACGGAGCCACTCCTTTGTTGCCCGGGCGATGTGTTTGGGATCATTGTCGTGTTGGAAGACCCAGCCACGTTTCATCTTCAAAGGTCTCACTGATGGAAGGAGGTTTTGGCTCAGAATCTCACGATACATGGCCCCATTCATTCTGTCCTTAACGTGGATCAGTCGTCCTGTCCCCTTAGCAGAAAAACAGCCCCAAAGCATGATGTTCCCACCCCCATGCTTCACAGTAGGTATGGTGTTCTTGGGATTCTTCTTCCTCCAAACACGACGAGTTGAGTTTATACCAAAAAGTTCTACTTTGGTTTCATCTGACCACATGACATTCTCCCAATCCTCTGCTGTATCATCCATGTGCTCTCTGGCAAACTTCAGATGGGCCTGGACATGCACTGGCTTCAGCAGCGGAACACGTCTGGCACTGCAGGATTTGATTCCTTGCCGTTGTAGTGTTTTACTGAGGGTGACCTTTGTTACTGTGGTCCCAGCTCTCTGCAGGTCATTCACCAAATCCCCCCGTGTGGTTCTGGGATTCTTGCTCACCGTTCTCATGATCATTTTGACCCCACGGGATGAGATCTTGCGTGGAGCCCCAGATCGAGGGAGATTATCAGTGGTCTTGTATGTCTTCCATTTTCTGAAAATTGCTCCCACAGTTGATTTTTTCCCACCAAGCTGCTTGCCTATTGTAGATTCACTCTTCCCAGTCTGGTGCAGGTCTACAATTCTTTTCCTGGTGTCCTTTGAAAGCTCTTTGGTCTTGGCCATTGTGGAGTTTGGAGTCTGACTGTTTGAGGCTGTGGACAGGTGTCTTTTATACAGATAATGAGTTCAAACAGGTGCCATTAATACAGGTAACGAGTGGAGGACAGAAAAGCTTCTTAAAGGAGACGTTACAGGTCTGTGAGAGCCAGAGATTTTCCTTGTTTGAAGTGACCAAATACTTATTTTCCACCCTGATTTACAAATAAATTCTTTAAAAATCCTGCCATGTGAATTCATGGATTATTTTCACATTCTGTCTCTCACAGTTGAAGTGTACCTATGATGTAAATTACTGACCTCTGTCATCATTTTAAGTGGGAGAACTTGCACATTCGGTGGCTGACTAAATACTTTTTTGCCCCACTGTGTATGTATATATATATATATATATATATGTATGTATGTATGTATGTATGTGTGTGTATGTGTGTATACATATATACATGTAAATATATACATATATACATGTATATATGTACACACACACACACACACACACACACACACATATATATATATATATATATATATATTACATACATATATATTACATACATATATAAATATGTGTGTGTGTGTGTGTGTGTGTGTGTGTGTGTGTGTGTGTGTGTGTGCGTAAAAATATCAGACTTGTCCTTTAAACCTGTTACTTGTAGTGAAAATAATATTTTCCTCTAAAACCTATAAAACAAGCTCATCTGCCCCCTGGTGGAGTATCCAGGTATTTCAGGTGGTAAGTGCCAATTTTATCTCTCATATAACACAACATCATAATACAAATAACTATAGACATGCCTCGTGATCCTTTACCAATGGGTAGTTCACGTTTTTTTGTAAGTAAATAGAAGGTTTTGGTTATTGTGACGCTTCAGACGGTTTCATTTATGACCCAAAAGGTTTTTCTGCCCTTTGGCTCCTTTAGCTGGACTGACCCACCCTGACTCAGACCATAAAATGATGTTTCCCATAAATGAAGTCCACCAATCAGGATAAACATCTCACTGTTAGCTGATTTGAAACATCTCAATGAGTGCTGACGGGCGTCTTTACCCTTTTCGTCAAAATGGCAAGACATTTGAGCTTTTATTCCCCTCAATGGAGTCAGCGTTGTGACCTTCTAACTCTGAAGTCTCTTTATGAGTCTCTGTGTCCCCCCCTCACCCCTCAGGGTAGACTTACCCTTTGACAGAGGATCAGTGGTAATGCAGCTCCTCAGCCCAACACCACAGCAGTAACATGAGCCTCTTACACCCGTTCTCTAACGCAGACCTCAGAAACGATGCTTTATACCCCTCAGCTGATTTGGCTTGCCCCTCCCCTGGGAAGCACACGCCTGTTTAACTTCTCTCAGATGAATGTGAATATCCTGTAAATGTGGCAGAAGTACGAAGCAATGGTCTTAAATCCTGAGATAAGTAGACCAGTAAAAACTGATGTAAGATCATAAAAAGCAAAAGTAAAATCACAAATACATAAAAATGTTGGTGCTAAAAATGAAATGAGGGCCAGGTTGTGTTTGTGTCCTTTTACAGATAAACCAGCGTAGATTTTCCATTTTTTGTTTTATGACAGATCAGATATTAAAGCTTCAGGGTAAAGGTCAGAGGTCACGAGTATGTTTGAGCCTCTACAAAGTGTCAGGAACTTCCTCGATCAGCAACCCTGACTTGGTCAAGCCCACGACGTTCTGCTCCGTTCCAGACGGGTTCCTGGGATGCTCCTCTTGGCTCTTGGGTGGTGTCGATGTAAAAGCGGACGTGTCTGCATTAGATCAGATTTCTGTGTGTACATCACGCCTTCTGAACGATGTGGCTCTCCGAGCAGCACCCCCGCTCCGGAGACCGACAGCCCACATCCCGAGCCCCCCCCCCCCCCCCCCCCCCCCCCCTTCTTCTCCCTCTCATTTTCCTGTCTCACTCCTCTGTCCTCTCCCTCATCCTCCTCTGATCTTCATCCAGGCTGGCGTGCCCTTTGCTGTTTGAAGCCCGCTGGCCCGCTCCTCGGCCGTGACCCCACCCCCCCGATCTGAAACGCAGTTACACCACCCGGCATCACATCAGCAGCCTCGGCTCCGGGAGACAGCAGCAGCAAATTGAGCATGTTTCTCCGGTTGGCGCTGGTGAGCGTTTTCCTCCCTGTTGCTTTCCCCCGAAAGCAAATAGTCCCTCTGTTAGTGAGACGGAATCCTTTCACTCCTGAAAATAATTTAGTTTTATTTGTTGTTGTAACGATGCTTCTGAGCAACCACCTAATCCACCGAGGAACTCAGAACAGGTGTGTGTGTTTAACCTGGACACACGCTCAGGTGTGCTCATGGATGTAATTTTGGGGGGGGGAACAGGGGGGACATGTCCCCCCCACTTTTTCCAAAGTCAAGTTTTGACCCCTGCACTTTTTACCATCCAAAAACAATATTACGCTATATTAAATTGACACTGGTTGAGCTCAAGGACCAAGCAGAAAACAACCGTTTGTGTTGAAGCCTGTTTCCCATTAGAGCATACTGTAGAGACCCCCCCCCCCCCCCCCCCCGTGTCCCCTCCACTTCTAAAGTGAAAATTACGTCCTGTGCTGCTCATTTCACAGGTGCATGAACTTAATCAGGCTCTCCACTGGTTTCAGACTGTAACACATTAAGGAGAGGGGTGCCAGCCAGGCCTTCTTCTTCAAAGGAGAACTTAAACCATAAATTACCCGACCATCAACTCACAACACACACATCACACACCCAACAACATACAACGTAGCGGCTTATGGATCCTCCTGACCATTCATTCGTGTCAGCGACGGGGAAGCCACCAATGTACCCGCAATGTGCTCGGCGGCACTCTCACAGTCAAACTCAATAGATTGTTCTTACTCGCGGAAGCCGACTTTCTCCCAACGGGTCTCGTGGTTCTGGCAGAAGAACGTAAGCACCGGGGTCTGACAGGCCCGACTCAGAAGTGTAACCCGGGCGAAATAGTCGCGCGTCCCACCGAAACGGCGATCCCGTCCTCTTAATCTCCGCTGTGGAACGGTGTTCTTGTCTCTCCTCCGTTTGATCGTTTTTTTTTTTTTTTTTCACAAATATTCTCGTTATTATTTCAACACTACTGTCTGTAATCCTCCTTTTTTCGCTGGTCTGTGTCTCTCCCTCTCACTGTCAGCGGGGCAGTCAGACACACCTGATCGGGTCACGCCCCCCTTTTTTAAAGACGCGCTCGCCACAGAGGAAATGACGAGCGGAAGCAGGTGAGACAAGAAAATGAAATAAAATG